TATAATAATATTTTATTTTTACAATATTAATTTAAGAATTCAAAAAATTTTGCATAAAGGTTTACAAATAACGATAATAAAAATTCATAATAAAAAGAATAAATCAGATATGCAAAAATTTTAAAATATAGGATTAAGTTGCCGAAAATATTTGCATTTATGCATTGTTAAGAATATATTTAATATTTACGAATTTTTTGTATTATAACAGATGAACAAGGCATGAAATTTTTTGCATTTCAAGGAAATGTGAATAAAAAACTTAAATTGAATCATTCGGGAGAAATATCGGGTGAGGTATATGAAAAAAAAACAAAAATGGACCATTGAAAATAGAGATATAAATTTAGTATCAGGAGACGTTATACATTATTGGATTTATGTACAAGTGAATGAAGCAATGCATATCAGTGGAGAACAAACTTGGACAGGTTTTAAAATATTACTCTTTAAAATATTTACTCAATATTATATTCGCATTATTTTCATATATATAATAATTTTATCTTAATTAAGAGAATTATAACGTAAAAATAAATTTCATGATAATTAAAAATAAAATATAGATGAATTGTAAAAAACAATTGTAAAAAAAGATAAAAAAGAAAAATATAAAGAATAATTGTATTTTTTAGTTGCAGTCACCAATAAATTTGCGAATTTATTATTTCACGAAACTTTTGATTCCTTGAAAGATTCAGTTTGGAATCATGAAGTTAAGATACCATTAACGCCTGTAAATAAAAGTTACACATAACTATAAACATTTCAATTTGTTATAAATAATTTTTAATAATTATTTTAATAACTCTTTTACCACAGGACTATGAATTTTGTGTTTATCACAATGATCAACATTCATCTGCATATGTTGAAAATGGATTTCTTAAAATCAAGCCACTGATATTAGAAAATCTATATGGTAATAATGCAACTACATATGGAACATTGACACTTAGTGGGTAAAAACACTATAAATTTTCAATATATATAATTTTTCACGCGGGAAAATAATGTTTTTATCTTTTCTTATCTATACATATATTTATTCATTATCTTGTAAAAATAACTTGGAATTTTTTCGTTTACTATAGATGCACTAGTAAGATTTCAGCGGAATGTGAACGTAAGGGTAAATCATTTCATATATTGCCACCTATTTTGTCTGCTAGATTAAGTACAAAAAACACTTTTAGTTTCCAATATGGAAAAATTGAAATAAGAGCGAAATTTCCTAATGGTGATTGGTTATATCCAGGTAAATATTAATATAATTGATTATTCGATTTTTTTCTCGATTATCATTTTATTATATACATATTTTTTAAATCAGAATATTGAATATTCATCAGAATAATTCGAATCTTGAATTAATTAATCACAAAAACGATACACAAAAACATTAAATTTAAATGTTACTTGAATAATTAAATAAACAAATTTTATTTAATTTTTATTGATAAAATAACAAATATTTTATTGTATTTATTTGCAATAGAAATGTGGCTTCAACCAAAATATGATTATTATGGTCCCAACTATTCCAGTGGATGTGTTATACTCGGTCTTTCTCGTGGAAATGAAAATTTAGTTTCTACTGATGGAAAGATATATGATTCAAGAACATTAGATTTTGGATTACGAATAGGAACAACAAAAAATCTTACAAATTATATAGTATCTGAAACACTAAAAAATGGTCCAAGATGGACAACGGATTTTCATGTTTACACAACAATTTGGGATTCCAATGGATTTCAATTTTTTGTAGATGGCAAAGAAATTGGTAAATTGATTCCACAAGAAAATGGTTGGATGTATGGTAGTAATTTCAACAAAATGGCTCCTTTTGATCAACAAGTATGTACAAAAATATATTATATTTGTGTATATAAAATATAAAATATATATAAAATATAAAATATATATAACTTATTTTTAAATATTTATTATAAATATATTTTTCATATAAATTATATTTTTTATAATAAATTATTATTAAATAAATGAATTTTTAAAGTTTCATTATATTTTAAAGTTTCGTCTACATTTCAATTATGTAAAATATATTTTCAAATTAATAAAAATGTATAAAAAAATTAATTCAATTAATAAAAAAAAGAATATATGATTTTTGATAATCAATTTATTTATGAAATATTGTCTTTTTAACAGTTTTATATTACACTCGGGGTGGGAGTTGGTGGTATTCGTGTATTTCCTGATGGGACAACTAGCTCAGGAAATGTAAAACCGTGGAAAAATGTTGGGGCTAAGGTAAGAATATTTTTTCATTAATAAATATTTGCACGCAACATAAAATTTAAATAAATTCAATGAAAACAATTTTTTTGATATTATATATATATATATATAATAATTACAGTGGCTTGAGCATAACTATTATTTTGAATTTCAATGTTAATTTTATTTTACTATTGTAACATTAACGAAACATAATTATTTAAGAAATTGTTGTATATTTCAGGCAATGTTGCAATTTTGGCATGCAAAAGATCAATGGTTATCAAGTTGGAGACAAACAAACAGTGAAGAAAATATCTTCGAGATTGATTATATTCGAATATGGTCACTTTAAAAAAATTAAAAAAGCTATGTTATTATAAAGACTTACGTAATTAAAAAAATGATAAATAAATTTGTAAATAAGTTTTTATTTTGTAATTTAAATGTAAAATAATTTCTTATAATAATATAATGCATTTTATATATTAAAATAATATAATATGTTAAATAACATAATAAATAATATAAAATAATATTATTTTACTTTTTTATCTTGATTAATTGATAATTATTAATACGTAAAAATATTGAATATAAATATAATATATTAAAATATATTATTAATATACAAAATATTTTTAACGAAAAATATTTTATTAATTAAATATATAAATATATATAAATATCATGCATAAAATATATAAAAATTATCTTAAATGGTAAAGAATTTTAAACTTGATTCTTCCTCCAAACCGGTTTATCTTGAACAACATTAAAAAGAATAAAAGAAACTTTCATTTGGTTCACTATATACCTAAATGTGTAGAGTATAAAAATTATTGACAGTGGATTTTCATATTTTTTATCTTATTATAATTTGTCAAAAGTTTTAATATTTTAATTTTTCGAAATATTGTAATAAATAATTGTGATTCATACATTTTGTACATTATATTTCAAATGACAAAATTAATTATCTTTTTTATTATGACTATAATTCATTTAATTTATGGATTAAACAATGATAAATATCAATCAAATTATTCTAGTAAGTATAACAATTTTACGAAATATACATCATATATCATATTAACAAATATAAAATTTATTTTTCATATTTTATTAATATTTATATACAGATTCTTATATACAGTAATAATAATTAAAAAAAAATTATATATATAATTAAACATTTTTATGTTTAAATATATATATTAAATATTTTATAAATTGTAGTAATTTTTTTTCTATAAAAATTTAATAATTATATTTTATTATTTGAAATAAAAAATCTATACATTTTATTTATACATGTTTTATGTATTTGTAGGATATGAATTTATTTTACACAAATGCATAGCCAGTGCTCAATTAAATACGAAACAAAATAAAGAAATATCAAATACTAATTCAAATAAACCCACTGAAAATCTCTTACACAAAGCATACATTTCAATTGTTATGCGAGAAAAGAATTCAACTATTTCTTCAAATGTAAAATTGAATAACAATCATTTATTTAATAATTCTGAAACAAGCTACAGCAATTTAAATGAAAATCCATCTTTCAAAAAAGAATAAAAAATACACCTTTAAGAACTTTAAATATTAAATCAATGAAAAATTCATCACCTATATTTACAAAAAAAGATTTGTTACCAGAACTTAAAGATGATACTAATAAAATTAAAAATTCATCTTTTGATTTTATAGTTATTAAATCAACAATATAAATATAATAATTTTTGGATATGCAATAATACTCTAATGTAAAATAATATAAAATATAGCATATATATATTATTATGAAATAAACAAAAGAAAAAGGATTATTATGATTATTATTATTTATCAAATATTATTGAAAAAAACAAAATGTGTAATTCAAATGTAATTTATTTGTCTATTTCTTAAAATGTAATGTAATAACTTATTTTATTCATTATTATGAAGGTGTTGCTTGCTGAATTTTTTCTGGTAAAGTTTGTAATTCCACCTATAAAAAAAATAATTGATAATTTTATATGTATTTTATATGTATTTAGAAATGAATAAATTACCTTTGTAATTTTCATTGCTACTCCTTCTGGAAGATTTCTTTCTATATATTCTAAATATGTATCTGCAGTTGAGCCAGTTAATTTAAGAAGATCAAGATATCTATAATATGTTCTTGTTTCATACTGAACTCGATGTTTTTTATGAATATGAACAGACTTAAGTACTGTTAATCTTTCATGGATAGGCTTTCGTAATGCAATACTGTTAATTTTAGAATAACAATTTTATATTTTTTTATATATAATTTCATAAATATATATTTTTAATTATAACTTACTGTTTACCAACAAAGATGTCTAAATAATTTGCTGCCATAACAGCAAATTCTCCATAGCTTTTAAGAACTTCAGGATCATTTCCTCTTATTTCAATTTCCAACTTTTTATAAAGTTTATCAGACTCATCAGACTAAAATGTATATTATATTTTAAAAAAATATTAAAATATATAAATTCTTACAAATATGATATAATGATTATCATAATGAACTTAAAAAATCTTATAACAATAATAAATTTTATTTATTATTTAATGTAAAGAAGTAAGAAATAATAAGAAATAATATATATATTTATTATGAATAAAATATCTAATTACATACCTCTATGGGATTAGATGTAGTATTTGATGATCCAGGTGATGCTTCAATAGTAATCTCGGATAAAGTTTTAACTGAAGTATCAATTTTTTCTGATTTTTGATTTGAAGTTTTAGGTTGCTGGGAAATTTCATCTATATTTTTTGTTAAAGTTATATTTGAAGTATTATCTGAATTTTCAATATTAGTTGAATATAATATATATTGAAATGATTTGTTATAATTTGATTCTACATTATATAAATTTCTATCTATAATATTATGTAAGAAAGAAAATGCCTAAAAAATATTAGAGGTTAATTTTTCACCTAAATTTAAATAAAGCTTTTTTTTACATAATGTACCTTTGAACGAAACATTTGTTGTTTGTTGTTTTTACTTATTAGATAAAATTAATTGAAGCTTTATTATCTTATATTAAATAAAATTTAGATATAAAAATGAATACTTTTTCTTTGATATATACATATATACATTTTATATTCCGCGCACTAAATTCTATATGTGTATAAATAAGAGAAATCGTGAAAGACATATACTAAGATTATTATGTTACTTATACATGTATGTAAGTAACATGTATATTGTAATACTTATTAAATATGGTAAATAAATGATACATTATAATAACAGATCATATGAAATGGATTAAAATCAAAATTTTAATCAAAATTTTCTTTTCTATTTTTAAATGTTATTATTAAAGCTTAATTTGTAAATGGAAACATGTTGTAGTTAATATAATAAAATTTAATACTTTATTTATCTGTTAATAAAGATAAATAATTCTGCTGCTTATATAGTTTATATTTTTTTCTTACTATAAAGGATAAGATTGTAGATTTGATTTATTCTATGTGATAAAATCAAAAGATGTCAATGTTTAAAAATGCAATTCTTTTTCTATTTTTTCTGATTATAAATCTAATAATATATTTAATTAAATTATTCGATTTTTTAAAAATAAAAAATATTTTTTATATCATCAATCTAATGCAATTATCGTTAACATGTCTCAAATGAATATTTCATGTGTCATAATAAAATCGAATAATATATAAATAAAATATATTAAATAAAATAATATGTAAATAAAATAAAAACTAAAATTAAAAAATTGATTATAATAAAAAATTGTATTTTACGTTTAATAAGAACAAAACTTAACCAATAATTTCTAATATATCTAATTATTAATTTAAATCAATTTTTTAACAAATATTTTATGTTTTTATCAAATACATTTGAATTAATTAAATTTTTTATGTAAATGCAATTTTATTTGAAAAGTACAATATAAACTTACTTTTTACATTGTCTCAAAGGAGAGATACTTAAAACATTTTATAATAGCATATTAAATAGCACATTATTTATAAGTTATTATTATTTTAATAATGCTTTTAATAAGAAGATAACAAAATATAACTATAAAAAACAAAAGTGAATATTTATTCACATTATTCATAATTACTGATAATCTTATAATATAAATTTAAACATTTTAAGATTCAAGTGTATATATAATTATTTATTATATAAATCTTAAATATATTTTATACTATTATTAAAACAATAAGTATGAATTCCCCTTTGTGACGCATGTAATAAACTGACATTATGTAAAAATATTTGAAACAATAGAATTGTTGATAATTAACATTATCATTAACTTAAATAACACAAATTTTAATATGAACTTTTGAATTGAGTTGTAGGAAAAGAACGTTGTGATTGAAAATTAGAATTTTTAAATTGCCAAGATCCTATATTATTTCCATTTTGCCAACCAGTAGATGTAGTTTTCTTATCAATATTATCTTGAGAAAGCCAATGTGATTCTCCAACATTTTGATTACTATTATTTTGCCATTGAGATTTTGTACCAAAAGATAATCCTTTATTTTGCCAATTATCTTTATTATTTTTTGTCCATGAATCTCCTTTTTGTTGTTCATTTTCTCGTATCCATGTGTTTGATGTATTAGTATTTTCAAATTTAAGCCATCTTTCTTTTAAATCTATAGCACCATCATCTCCCCAAGGATCTTTTGCATCTTCTGGTAAATCGTTTAAATCTTCTTTGTCACATTGTTTCCAAGAGTCTTTAATATTTAATAATTCCCACCTAGCTTGTTTTTTATTATCTATCCAAGATTCTTTACAAGCAGTAAAACTTTCTTTGCCGCGAATATTCCAATTATCGTTACTACTGCTAGGCATAGCTGTTACTGACCATCTATTATCCGAACTTGATGACCATGATTCCTTCATCATAGATTTTGTATGTAAAGTTTGTTTAGAATTCCAAGAATTTACATCATTATTCCAGGTATCATTGCGAATAGGATCTTTAATATTTTCCCATTTTTCTTGATAAAAAGTTTTACGACGTCTATCATTATCCCAGTTGTTATTGGATGTTGGCGTTTTTTCAGTTTGCCAAATGTTTTGTTCAGACATTCGTTCAACAGGTCGAGACCAAGTTTGTTCAATAGCTCCTCTACTTGGTATATCCCAATCATCAATAAACCTTGATGGTGACATTTGTCGTCTTTGAGGAGAATGTTGTTGTCTTGGTGATAACGTAGAACGTTCAAAAATCAATCTATGTGGTGATTCTGCATGTCTCATTGTTGATGTTTGCTGTCTAGAAAATATTTCCTGTCTATTAGAAGATATCATTCGATTAGGAGATGGAATTTCTCTTCTTAAAGGAGACATTGGACGTTTCATTGATGATGATTGTCTTCTAGAAGGAGATGCAGTAGATCTCATGGGAGATATTTGTCGTGGTGAAATTTGATGTCTTAATGGTGATATTGGGCGATTCATAGTCATTTCAGTTCTTCGCGGTGAAAGCCTTCTCGGAGACAAAGGTTGTCTTAAAGGTGACATTGGTCGTCTTAATGGAGAAATAGGACGTCTTATAGGAGAACGTTGTCTATAAGGTGACATAGGACGGCGAAGAGGAGAAAAATGTCTTCTTGGAGGAGAACATAATCGTCTTGGAGGTGATAATAATGGACGTTTAGGAGAAAGTCTTTTTGGAGGAGTTACACGATGTTTTATAGGAGAATTTTGTCTTCTCATAGGTGAAATTGATTTTTTCATATTTTCTATTTCATTCCAACGATTCTTTTCAAAAGTTTTATCTCTATTCTGATCTATTTCAACTTGAAACGATCTGCTAAATCGTTCAGGTGTTGTACGAAATGATCTTTCTTCTTTATGATCAATTGCTTGTAATACTGGCATGATTGTATTTGGTTCTAAAGGTGGTATATTATGATATTTTTTATAAATCGGTTTTGTTACAGACTCTTCATCATTTAGAAATCTCTTATTTGGCATTGTAATTAGAATATCCTGAGAACCCATTTCTTGAACATAACGACCTTTCAAAATAGAATCATTTTGCTTATTTTCTCTTTGATCCGAATTTATATTTCCTGGTGAAGCAATACGATCCCAAACAGAACGAGGTAATTGACTTTGAAGTTTATTTGTTTGTTCTAAAACCATATTTAACATATTTTGCAATTGTTTTGCGGTATTTATATCAACTGTCGGTGCTGGTCCACTTAATTTTTCCTTTGCTATTTCTAAAAGAGCTTGATGTTCTTTTACTGTTTGAGCAATATCTATATCCAATCGATTATTAGATAATCTTTCTCTTAAATCAGTTTGTTCTTTAGGTTCTCGTATTTTTTTTTCGTAAAAAGGATTAACACATAATTGTGAACTTTCTGTATTCCAATCTTTTTTCTTTTTTGCTGCTACATCTAATATTAAAATTATGAGAATTATAATTATAAGATTATAAGAATTAAATTAAATTTTTTTTGTATTATAAATGCATTATTGATTAAAAAATATCGTTAAATATTTACTAGATTTTTTACTTCTTATATTATATTTTTTGAGTATAAACTTACCTATATGCCATGGTTTAGCACCTACTTTATTAAATTTTTTTATTAATTTTTTTGGTGGAGTTTCTCCTTTGTCCGGAGAATGGGAACGTTTTCCTTTAAATTTATTTTTTGAAAATGAATTCTCAATATTTTTTGTATAAAATACTTTTTTTACTGATGTTTTCGATTTTCTTATGGGATTTTTTACTAATTTGTTAAAATTTATTTTAGTTTTTAATTCAAGTCCTTTGCCCAATGTTTTATCTGTTTCATCAACATTTTGCTCATTTTCTTGAATAATTTTGGTTTCTGAATTTTTGACATCTTCGTCTATAGTTTTTTGAAACCATAATTGATTAAATTTGTTTATCATTCGTCGCTGCATTAAAATAACTGCTTCAAAATGAGGACCAATAGGTAAAGTATCAACAACACATGCCAAAACAGGAATAAATGCTGATCCATGACCATGATCTCCAGGTCGAGCTAATTCTAATATAGCACGTACTGATTGTTTAGTTAATGTTGTTATCATTACTATTCGTTTAAGAGATGGAATTTTTCTAAGAGCTGTCATTACTTCAATTGCTGTAAAATATATGTATTGTATATATATTATTATATATAAATATGTATGTATTCAAATATTATTTTAAAAATTATTAAATTATTAAATATACATTATATATTATATATTAATATATTAATTTTAAACATTATATTTTATATAATTTTATATATTTTATATTATTTGTTTATATTTGATATGTTTACATACCTCGACCAATATTAGTATTTGCATTAATTATTGCACATGTCTTACGATTTTTTACCGCTGCAATAATTTGATTTGTTACTTCAGAAGGAGATCCCATTATGAATGAAGCATTTTTTATGTTATTTAATTCACATGTCATTTCAGCTTCTTCTACCTCTGATGGAGAATCCACTCCTATAACTTGTTGACATTTCTAAAATTAAAAATCATAAAATTTAGAATAAAAATATGATAATTGATAATAAAAACATTCTTTTTATTTACAGATGCCATCATCAATCCAATAAGACCAATACCACATCCTATTTCAAGTACTGTTGTTTTTGGACTAGGTGCAAGTAAATCTATTACTGCATTTGCTACATTTTCTGCTCCTGCAGAATTTGACCAAAAATTTGTTTTAGGTGCAAGTTGTACTTTTAATCCTCCAACAATTTCATCCAAAGCTTCTGATCCTACTAGAAATGTTGTATCCGTAACAGCAGTACCATCATATCTAATATTAAAAAAAAAAACTAATAATATATATTATATACAATATATTATTATATAATTATTATTATATAATATATATAGTTATTTATTTTTTTAATATGAATGAATATTATAGCTATACATAATATATATATATATATATATACATAACTTAATAGCTATACAAAATTTTGCAATTTTTAAAAATACTATGATTTTATACATTAATTTTATACATAAATTATTCTTACCTATTTGTAGATTTGCAATATAGAGATTTAACATTGCAATCTTTTCCAGGTCCAGATT